CACACACACACACACCCACCCCCCCCCCCCCCCCCCCCCCCCCCCCCCCCCCCCCCCCCCCCCCCCCCCCCCCGCCTCCCCCACCCCACCGCCACCACCCCCCCCCCAAAAAAAAAGAAGTAAGAAAAGAGGGCCCCTAAAATAGACGGGATTCCCTTATACTAAGGATCCCCAAGAAGGCACCCCCTAATTTCGGAAACCCCCAGATACCTCTGAGGGTACCCTTTTCGGGTTGGTTTCTTTGCAAAGGGAAAGCCCTAAACCCTAAACCCTAAACCCTAAACCCTAGACCCTAGACCCTAAGCCCTAAACCCTAAACCCTAAACCCTAAAGCCCTAGCCCTAAAGAACCAAATTTAGGGCAAAAGGGAAAAGGGTACTTCTGGGCTACCAAGTCCCTAAACCTACATCCTGAGTCCTAAACCCTAAGCCCGAAGCCCTAAACCCTAAAAAAAGGGCAAAAAGGCTACCAACCATCCCTAAACCCTAAACCCTAAACCCTAAACCCTAAACCCTAAACCCTAAACCCTAAACCCTAAACCCTAAACCCTAATCCCTTTCACCGAAAGAAGGGGGGCGGTGGCACTTCTCGTGTTTGGGGGTGTGTGGCTGTCTCCAAGATGCTCACACCCCGAGCTGAGTGAGCTAGGGAAGTCAGGATGCCCAAGTGGTTTAGGGTTTAGGGTTTAGGGTCTAGGGTTTAGGGTTTAGGGTTTAGGGTTTAGGGTTTAGGGTTTAGGGTTTAGGGTTTAGGGTTTAGGACAGCCCAAACCTCCTAAACCTTAAACCTGGAGCTGCCAAGTGCCTCGAGGAATTCGTCCAGGTAGCTCCATTCGACCACATGGCCTTTGTGCTTATTCGGGTTTAGGGTTGTGAGGGTTGAGGGTTGAGGGTTTAGGGGTTTAGGGGTTTAGAGTTGAGGGTTAGGGCTTAGAGTCTTAGAGTTCAGGGTTTAGACCATTGGGTTAAGGGGTTTCGGGCGCAGGGTTTGACACAAATCCCCTAGGCGCTCGTCCCACAGCATGGTCTCAGCGTCTGGCGAAATGCATGATCCTTTGGCAGCAAGCTCAGCTCCTGCACGAATTATGACATCCTATACTAGGGGCTTAGGTTTTAGGGTTGAGGGTTTAAGGTTTAGGGTTTAGGGTTAAATTAGGGTTTAGGGTTTAGGGTTTAGGGTTTAGCCCCTCTTTTGAAGGCTTTGCAGAGGGTGAACGGGCCCTCATACCAGGAACCTACAGAGCCGACTCTACAAAGGCGGCGTGTTGAGGGCATGCAGCGCAATCACGCCTCCAAACTCTTGCACCCCTAAACCCTAAAACCTTCAGCCCTAAACCCTAAACCCTCAAACCTTAAACTCTCAAGCCCTAAAACCCGCACACTCTAAAACCCACCCTGAAGTTTTGTTTTGCCTCGCACTGCGTCAGCAACCCATTCTCCTGAAAACTTCAGAAGTTCATCGCGCTCTTGGTGGGTTCGGGGCTTAGGGTCTGTGCGCGAGAGAGCGGCGAGAGAGGTGAGAGAGAGCGAGAGAGAGAGAGAGAGAGAGAGCTAAACCCTAAACCCTAAACCCTAAACCCTAAACCCTAAACCCTAAACCCTAAACCCTAAACCCTAAACCCTAAACCCTAAACCTTTGCAGACGCATCGAACTGCTGGAGTCCTCCTCCTCATCGCCATGGAAGTGCTGGTCCGCCTAAAGAGTTTGGGGATTTCGAAAAAAGGAAGGATCAAGGGACTAAAGGAGGGACCCTGATGAGGAAGGGTTTAGGGTTTAGGGTTTAGGGTTTAGGGTTTAGGGTTTAGGGTTCAGGGTTTAGGGTTTCGGGTTTAGGGTTTAGGACCCTTACAAGGGACCTTAGCGGTTCTTCAGGGGTTCTTTGGGGGCTACTTAGGTAGATAGGGACAAAAGGGTACATATTTTACCCCTATCCTGGAACAAACGGCCCAGCGTAGTGGGTCAGCCCTAACACACGAAACCTCAAAAACTCCAAACCCTGAAGCCCAAAACTATAAAACCCTAGAACCCCAAACCCCGACGCTGAAGCCCTAAACCCGAAAACCCTAAGCCCTAGATCCCCAAACCCTAAACGCCAAACCCTAAACCCCAAATCGCAAACCCTATAATCATGGGTGTTTCAACAATACCGAACCGTCGTACCGCACCGAACCGTGCAGGAAGCTTACCGTACTGCACCGAACCGTGCAGGAAAGTATTGCACTTGCCAGCCGCCCTCCAGTTTTTTCAGCCACTCCCACTCCGCACCCTCCAGCCACCACCCTCCACCCACCTCACCGCATGCGTCCCCCTTGGGCAACCAAGCGGCTTTGGGTTTTAGGGCTTTAGGGCTTTAGGGCTTTAGGGCTTTAGGGCTTTAGGGCTTTAGGGCTGTAGGGCTGTAGGGCTTTAGGGCTTTAGGGCTTTAGGGCTTTAGGGCTTTAGGGCTTTAGACAATTTGGGGTTGAACCCTAAACCCTAAACCCTAAACCCTGAAAACCCTCGGTTGGAGGTTCAGGAGTTTTTGGGTTTTAGGTTTAGGACGTTAAGCCCCACCCCTCCCCCCCCCCAAAAAAAGGAAAAAGCCGAGCCCCTGGCAGACTTGCGGATGGCTTGGAAGTCTTCTGCGAGACACATCAAAGCCTACCATGACAGGTGGCTTGCTGCTTTATCTTATTTTCTGAGTTCATAAGCTCCCAAAAAAAGCGAGTTCAGGGGTGTTGAGGGTCTAAGCCTACCATGACAGTTGCTTGCTGCTCTTTTGGGGTTCAACGGGTTCCGAGGGTTTAAGGGGTTTAGGGTTTAGGGTTTAGAGTTTTGGGTTCAACGGGTTCAAGGGTGTTTTGGGTCTAAGCCTGCCATGACAGGTGGCTTGCGGTGTTTTTGGGTTGGATGGGTTCAGAGGGATCAGGCGGGTCTTATATAGGGCATTTTAGGGTTTCGGGTATCTTTGAGAGAACCAGTGTGTGTGTATATATATATATATATATCCAAATCCCGAAGGGTTCTCAGGACTTGCAGCACTTGCAAGTCCCAGCTGAGGGGTCGAGGTTTCACAAGGAGATTCGAATCCTCTAACTCCCCAAAGGCCAGCAAGAAGCAACAACGGGATCCCAGAAACCCCTCCTAGGAATTAGGAAGGGTACGCGTTCATAAAGGACTCCAATCCCAAACAAAAGAGATTGAACAGAGGTGATTCTGAGCTCTCGGGTTCGTAGGGTTTGAGTAGCTTCTCCACCACGCGGCAAGCTTTTTCATTCGGCGAGCTCCCATGCCCTTGAAAAATGTTTCCCAAAGCCGGGCTTCTCCTCTACACTGTACATGACGCAACTCCAAGCTGCCTAAGCCCGGAAAACCCTAAGCATATCCAATTCCGACCTCAGTAACCTAAACTCTATAAACCCTGCACCCTAAATCCTGCAAACCCTAAACACCCAGCGCCGAAACCCAATCCTAAAACCCTTTGAATTCCGCACCCTCAGCCCGAAATCGTCTGAACCCCAAACCGTTTAGGGTTTAGGGTTAGGGGGTTTAGGGGGTTTAGGACTTTGGGTCTCGGGCTTAGGGCCTACCAACACCCCAAGCCCTCAACACGGCGTCTGCCGCCAAGGGTGGGGGGGTGAAAAGGGCTATTGAATTAGGTGGCTTCGGGGCTTGTCGGGCCTGTATTGGGCTTGTCGGGGTTCTTGAGTCTACAGGGCTCCTGGGCTTTGTACAGCTTAAGCCCTAAACCCTAACCCTAAACCCTAAACCCTAAAGCCCAAACCCTAAACCCTGAAGGTCTGGAGTTTCAGGGCATGGAGTCCATGGCTTAGGTCGCCTTAGTCTTTCGATCCTCCGCGAGCTCCAGCCGTAGGAGTGCCAGATATGTCAGGTACCTTAGTCCCAGAGACACCTAGGAAGCTTAGGGAGGGTTTCGGGTTTAGGGTTTAGGGTTTAGAGTTTAAGCTTTAGGGTCGGAACCCTAAACCCTAAACCCTAAACCCTAAACCCTAAACCCTAAACCCTAAACCCTAAACCCTAAACCCTAAACCCTAAACCCTAAACCCTAAACCCTAAACCCTAAACCGAGTCTAGTTTCATGGCTGCACATTAGCAACAGCCTAACTCCCCCCCCCCAAACGGGACGCGGCACAAGAGGAGCAGACCTCCTTCTGCCAATACACTGCCATCCTTAGTTGTCCAGTAACCTGGGGGAACTAAAGGTTAACCTTCGGGGTTATAAGGGGATTGTCCTAAACCCTAAACCCTGAACCCTAAACCCTAAACCCTAAACCCTAAACCCCAAAAAGGTTAAAGGTTACCTACTCTACTACTAGGCATCCAGTAGGTCGACTCTCAGCTTGTTCCGCAGCACCAAAGTGCTCCCGATGATGCCAAGCGTGAGCTGGAGATGGCCACAGACTCCTTAGGGGGTTGGTTTGTAGGCAATGAGGGAATGAGGTACCCGAATATCCTCCGATATATATATATATATATTTCTACATATATATATATACCCTTTAAGGGATTATAGAGGGTGCCTAATTCCCTCATTCCCTACTAACCAGCAGTAAGACTCGGGTGAAGTGGAGCACCAGCTGTGAGCGCGCCCCGCCAAAATATGCGTACAGGACGATGTGCATCAGGACATTCGCCTGCAGAAACAATGCGCCACTGGCGGATCTGAAGGTCCAAATAAGCCAGGCCAGGCAGGGTGTGGAAACGTGATGGACCATGAAGTGAAGGTTTGGCTGAATGCCCATCAGAGACACCAGAGCTATGTCGAGGAATTCCCACGCCTTCGAATAGAAGTAGATGCCCAAGGTGACGTCAATGCGCTCGCTTAAAGGGAGGCCATTGCTCCAGGTCTCTTCATGTAGAAGATGGGGAAGAAGCACAGCCACTGCGGCAGGAAGGAAGAGCAAGTTTGCACATGCGTAACCGCAGTTGTTAATCCGCGCCAGCTTTGTTGCGATCTTGGGGCAGCTGCCACGGACCCAGCGGAGGGGGATAAGCGCCGATGCCAACAAGCATGTTTCAGCCACGAGGAACGTGACGGAAGGAGGCATCCTGATGTCGAGTTGTTGGACACCTTTGCATGCGATTGCCCAAGAAACCGCTTGATGTTTCATGTCTCAATGCCTCACTGCTGAACTTTCTCACGATGCCCTTAAACCCCAAGAGCCTAAATCCCCGAAAGCACTAAAGCCTTGCCCCCTACAAAGACATGTAAACGGGTCCTGGCTCACCCGTTCTGTTAGGCCGACTGAGACGGGTTTTAAAGCCGACACTGCGACAACGGAGCTGCACGGGGGTTTAGGGTTTAGGGTTTAGGGCTTAGGGTTTAGGGTGTAGGGTTTAGGGTTGTGCACGTGATGCTGCACTCTCCCATACTTCTCAGCACGAAGCCCCTTGAAGTCCTCAACTCTACACCCTAAACTTCAATTCGGCTCCCAAGGTCTGCGAATTCGGTTTGGGGCTTGTTGTGAAAACGAACAGTCCCTTAGCTTTGGAGTAGACCCTGAAAAATAAAGTATATACTTTTTAGGTATAAGTAGCTAGAATAGGAACCCAGAACCAAAAAAAGTATTAAAGTATAGTACTCCAAGACCCAGGTCCCCTTTGTAAAAGGGAGTCCAACACAAATGGGTGACTCTAAGGGCTCATCCTGTGGCTGCTCCGAGCTTAACTTCAGAGACCATGATGTGGGTTTAGGGTTTAGGGTTTAGGGTTTAGGGTTTAGGGTTTAGGGTTTAGGGTTTAGGGTTATGTGGGTTCATGCTAGACAAAACGGTCTCCTTCTTCTGGTAACTTCTATTTAAGTTCCTATCGACAAGAACCCAGACCATGGGGTGTAGGAGATGTTGTGTCTGGGACCCCGTAAGAACCCCTACACCCTAAACCCTAAACCCTAAACCCTAAACCCTACACCCTAAACCCTAAACCCTAAACCCTATCCCCTACACTCCACCATGACTTGAGATAGCGGCGGGTTGGGGTAGGATCCACACCTCCTGCGTCTTTCGCCGGCCACACTTCGCCACGACCTGCGAATATTCGAAAGTAGGGTTTAAGGGGGGGGGGGGTCTTTGGGTGAAGCCCTGAACCCTAAACTCTTTCCCTAAACCCCTAAGCCCTCAACAGGGTCTTCCAGAGGACGTGTCTTTGTGTGTGTGTGGCATTCTGCTAGGGAGGTAGGTTCCCGCAGCTACACCGTCTAAACTTGAATGAAGTTACCAGATTCAGGAAACCATCATGTGTGCCATAAACCCGTGTGATGGCAACTGGGTCGAAGTTCTGGATCAAGAAGCCAGTACAAGTCTTGAAGGCTCGAATTCTCAAGATGACAAATGCGCTTGACAACTGGAGCAGCCCCGAAACCTTCATCATCTGCTACGGTTTAGAGTCCTAAACCCTAAACCCTAAACCCTAAACCCTAAACCCTAAACCCTAAACCCTAAACCCTAAACCCAGAGGAGGCGTGCAAACTCGACAGGTCGAATGTGTGGTTGTCGCGGTTCAACATGCCGTCGACAGCTGGCAGCCTCAACTCCCAAACGTGTTTTTGCTGACCTGTTTCTTAAACCCTAAACCCTAAACCCTAAACCCTAAATCCTAAACCCTAAACCCTAAACCCTAAACCCTAAGCCCTAAAAGCCGCCAGACGTCAACCTGACAACCCAAATCCTCCAAACCCTCAACCCACAACGCCAAACCCCCACCCAAAACCTCCTCATCCCTTCATCTCTCCCATGCTGAACTTGGAACCCTAGCGAAAAAATCAGAATTGTAGGTGTTTCTTAGGATGTATAGACCCTAAACCCTAAACCCTAAACCCTAAACCCTAAACCCTAAACCGTAAACCGTAAACCGTAAACCCTAAACCCTAAACCTAAACCCTAAACCCTAAACCCTAAACCCTAAACCCTAAACCCTAAACCCTAAACCCTAAACCCTAAACCCTAAACCCTAAACCCTAGCATCCCCTTAGTCTAATTTTTCAGGAGTTCTAAATAGCCCGTGGCCTCCAGGCACTCCTGCATGAGGCGTACCTCCGGCTCTTCAGTCTTTCCTAAACCCGAAAGAACCCTAAACTCTGAGGGTTCAGGGTTTAGGGTTTGGGGTTTAGGGTTTGGGGTTTAGGGTTTAGGGTTTAGGGTTTGGGGTTTAGGGTTTAGGGTTTAGGGTTTAGGGCTTAGGGTTTAGGGACAATGACTTAGGGATTGGGGCTTAGGGCTTAGGGCTTGGGGCAGTTTACGAAGGCCCATGCCTCGGAAACTTCGGAGGATAAAGGCCCTTTACACCGCTCAAGGGCCCATAGTTAGGGTTTAGGGTTTAGGGTTTATGGTTTAGGGTTTAGGGTTTAGGGTTTAGGGTTTAGGGTACCTCAGAACCTGTGACCAGGCGTGGCGTTGGGGTTTTTGGGGTTTTAGGGGTGTTTAGGGTGTCTAGGGTGTCTAGGGTGTCTAGGGTGTTTAGGGTGTTTAGGGTGTTTAGGGTGTTTAGGGTGTTTAGGGTGTTTAGGGTGGTTAGGGTGTTTAGGGTGATTAGGGTGTTTAGGGTTTCAGGTTTTAGGGTTTCGGGTTTAGGGTTCCAAAGGCTTAGGGGTTGAGGGGTTTAGTGTGTTGGTTTGTAGGGCTTCTAGGGCTTTAGGGGCTTTAGGCTTTACTGGCCCTCGCCGGCCTGGTATCGCTATTCTTCGGGGCCGGAGACCACCCAGGAGGAGGGTACGGAGGCTCCGTCGGAACCAGATGCTTGTTCTTCGGGGCCGGAGACCACCCAGGAGGAGGGTACGGAGGCTCCGTCGGAACCAGATGCTTGAGGAGCTCGCCAAGGGTCTTCTCACTGTTGGTTAGTAGGGAAGTGGCCTCGCCTTCTAGAAACATCAAGGAGGCCATTGTCTTGGTGCGCGGGAAGACGGGAAACCAGTGTCTGGCGTGCCCGCTTCTGGGCAGCTGACTCTTGCGCGGCTCCACTCCGAGCCAATGGCGAGTGCCCGCCCTTGCAAAGCCCTAAACTCTAAACCCTAACACACCTTGAACCATAAACTCTAAATCCAAAACCCTACAACCCAAAAACTCTAAAACCCTAAAACCCTACAACCCTAAAACCCTAAAACCCTAAATGCCCTAAAAGCCCTAAAACCCTAAAACTCCAAATCCCTAAAACCCAAAAACTCCAAACCCAAAAACCCAAATTAAACCTTAAAACTTAAAACCCTAAACCCTAAACCCTAAACCCTAAACCCTGAACCCTGAAACCCTGAACCCTAAACCCTAAAACCTAAACCCTAAACCCTAAACCCTAAACCCTAAACCCTAAACCCTAAATCATCAAAGTGAAGCCATGAACCCTTCGTTGCTAAATCCGAAACACCTATGTGCTTAAGAACCCCCCCCCCCCCCCCCAAAAAAAAAAAACAAATAATTCTCCTTGTAAGGGTAATTAATATAGGGAGTATTATGTTATATTCTTCCTTGTAAGTGTAATATAGGGATATTTATTTCATATTCTTCCTTATAAGGGCAATATAGGGATTATTATTTTTCTTATTCCCTTGGGGTTCGAAAGCAAGTAGTAGGAAAGCCGTGCCTGAAGCCAGCCCCACACCATGCGCTGCGTGCTGTAGGGAATGGAGCCTCCGCCAGCCTTGGTAAGCTAAGGTAGAGTTTAGGGTTTATGGTTTAGTGTTTAGGTTTGGGGTTTAAGCTTTAGGGTTGAGGGTTTAGGTCTTAGGGTTTAGGACTGTGAGCCCTGAACCCCTACATGCATACGCCCCAAAATGCCAAGACCTCCTGTTACTGCCTTTAGAATTTTGGGAAGACGCGTGCATAAGATATAGCTGTGAACGAAAAGAAAAGAATATGAACCTACAAAGAAACATTGAAAGTAAATACTGGGATATCGATGGAACTTCACTTCTCCCAACTAACTTGAAGCGCATGTCAGGGACTTCTGCGCCAATGTCATACCCCAACCATGGCCTCTAACTTTGCAACTAAAAGTTTAACTAAAGCTTCGTGGTCAAGCGGGGGTTTTCTCAAAGTCAGGGTCTGCCCCAAACCCTAAACCCTAAACCCTAAACCCGAAACCCTAAACCCTAAAACCCCAAACCCTAAACCCCAAACCCTAAACCCCAAACCCTAAACCCTAAACCCTAAACCCTAAACCCTAAACCCCAAACCCCCCCACCCCCAAGCTTATTGGCAGCACTTGCCTCGGGCTCATGCAACACCCACACCGAAGAAGGGACCCTGGCTCCGAACAAGCCTCACTCTACGGACTGTAAGGGTGGTTACACCCTGAGCCCTAAACCCTAAACCCTAAACCCTAAACCCTAAACCCTAAACCCTAAACCTAAACCCTAAACCCTAAACCCTAAACCCTAAACCCTAAAGGCCCTTAAGGTGGTCCCTTACCATCTTTTGAAGGGCTCCGAAGTATGGGCCCTTTTAGTTGCATAGGGTATATAGGGGGATGCATAAGGCGTCCCCTTCTTAACGGCCCATGCTTAGGAACCATGAAGCTGCCTTAATTTTTTTTATATTAATTATTAATTAATGATTATCTATCAATAATTAATTATAAATTAAGAATTTAAAAACTATTTATTAATTAATTAATAGTTGATAATTAATTAAGATATCCGAGATTTCAAGCCCTAGGGCTACAAAGCCATGAAGCTACGGGGTTTTGGGGACTCTGTGAACTTTACAAAGGACAACGTAAGACTGAAAGGAACTTGACAGACCCTCAACCCTAAACCCTAAACCCTAAACCCTAAACCCTAAACCCTAAACCCCGCAAATCTGGGAGGGGAGGGAGTGATCCAGGCTCCCGGGCGCAAGGGATGCGACGCGCAAGCTCGTCGATCTGTCCCTGACACTCAAAAGCATTGGGCTTGGGGCGCAGGGGTTTTGTGGCTTGGGGTGCAGAGGGTTTAGGGTTTAGGGTTTAGGGTTTAGGGTTTAGGGTTTCGGGTTTAGGGTTTCGGGTTTAAGGTTCAGGGCTTTGGGGAGGGATTGAGGCTTCGGGCTTGTGGAGATTGACTTCTTTAAGCTATAAGGTCCTGGTCGCTTCTTTCTTGGCAGTGTATGCGCCCGTATTGTATCAAGGTTCCCCAGTAGCCTAG